GGCGATGATGGATTCATGAAATTTTTGATAAATTCGTATTTAATTATAAAAGAGAAGAGAAAACTATACTGCTGTCTCTTCTTTTCTGCTTCTGACATAGTTTTTACTTTACAGATACGTGAGTAGTAGTAGCAAATGTTACACATATCCAAGTCAAGGGTTATTATATTATTAATATATATATATATATATATATAATATATATATATATACTGTAACAGCAGTGACAAGAAACGTGACATTCAGAGTTTGCTGACAATTAGCTGTCACAAGCTGGTAAAAAAAAATGGGTGCCAAAAGACAGTTGTTATCAATTAACTATTTCCATTATCCCCAAAATATGTGACAAACAGCACAAGTTCTCAATTACTTATTACCTTTTCTCATGGGAAAAATTGGTGTTAAGCATCATGTCGGAGATCCACTTAAGGACACACAAAAGAAAGACTCTGAGAACACTAAAAGATGCCCAGAGAACTGTGATGAATATGCTGTGACTAGGGCACAAAGATTGTATCCGTGGAAGCGAATGGTCTGCTTCAGTTTTATTCAATGCTCTAATGCTAATTTTAACAAAATTCATCTTTGTATAACCTTTACTTTGTTAAGTTTTCATTACAAACCAAAAAAAGACAACCTGTCTGTTTATTCTCAAATCTCAGGAAAACTCTAATACGTTACAGTACTAGAGAGGTATCTCTGAACAGTGAAAAGATCAACTTAAAAACCCTGTCATCAATTGTGCATGATACTGCTAATGAAAATAAAATGAACAATATTTGCCTTTATATAGGTTGGGGACATATAACATGTATCAACAGGAATAAGATAGATGCAGTGACTCATTTATAACATTTGGCGAGGAAGTAATGTGTGGGGACAACGATGATGCGGGAGCAAAGTGTGGTTTTAATATAGATTTAATGGAATCTTTAAGTTCAATTTTCTCCACTTCCAGAACTACAGAAATATGTGAATTTTCACACATGTGATAAACATGATTAACATACATACAATAACAAAAATTAACCAATACTGGCACCAGTTCATTTTCCTACCCCCCCTCAAATATTTATAAACAACTAAAAAAGTAAACAATTAAATAAAATCTATTGGTCTATTTTTTAAAAGGCAGAATTTTATATAAATCATTAATAAAGTCTATCAATGATTATAAAACAATTTTTCCTATATACTTAATTAGCTTCATAAACAAAGTTAGGTTATTAGATTATGGTTAGTAAGTCCTCTTGCGAGATATAGTTGCTTAAACTAGAATCCTACATTTATAAAGATAGTGTGCATTCCAGATACACTTACAAAATCATGCTATAATTTATTAATTCTCACTACTGCTGAGTATAAAGTAAGCCATCAGACACAACATTAAATTAAGTATAACTCTTTATTGTTACAAAAAAGCAATTGTTTCTACATTTATTTTGCTACAACCTCCTCTAACTACGAAAATGTTATAAAACAATTCCAAGTTTGCAAGCTCCTCCAACATGATTTCCACTTTTTTGGGGGGAGGGGTAAAAAAATTGACTTTTGGTTCACTTTTTCTACCTCTTAGACTAAATTACATATTTTTTTTCTTTTTATATAATGTATAAAGGGTAGTTGAACTAGTGCTCCAATATTATAGTTAATACATGATTAGAGTGTTTTTTGGGAGCAGGGGGGGGTCTTTTATAGACAATATTTTTTTAACCTGCCTACGCCCCCCTTCGTGCCATCTCAATGCCCCCCTAATTTCCTCTGGGTCTTCTATTGCCCCCCTGAATGTCTCAAATGTCCACAAGGGGGGCTAATCACCCAAGCTGAGAACCTAGGTTATAGACAATGTAGGGCAGCCCTTAAGATAATAATGAAATTTAAAAACAAATAGAATTACAGGGCTATTTCTATAATTCTGATTTACATATTTTATATCTTAACATACTTAAACTGTAAACTTTTACAAGTATTTCTTGAAAAATTAAGGATTCCAAATTTAAGACTATTTTTATATTTGGAAAGAAAAATTGAATGACTTTTAAACACTCATATTTTGAGAGAAAATTAAATTACAATCTTTTAAAATTGGACTGTAAATTGTTTTATTATTTACATTTTTATATATCATTTTGTATGTTTAAGATATGAGAAAGTTCATGAACAAAATGACAGGACATAGTGAAACCTAAATCTATATCCTTGAGAAAAATAATTTTCTTTCTCATTGAAAAATATATTGTACAGAATGTTTATCTTCATTCGCTAATGCTTTTAATGCTTTTTTGTACACAGTAAAAATGTTTGATTATAGTAATGGTGATGTTATGCAAGCTTGTTTATAATTTTGCATTAATTATATTTGAATGCTACAACATTGCAAAGCCAGACGGTATTTTGGCACTTGCATCCCTGCAGTGTAGCCATGTAACCTGTAATGTAGTTCACAGTTGCCGTCAGTGTAATGATAGAGATGGCAAAAGTTGATGTCTTTATGCACATTATGAGTTGTGTTCTCAACTTACATGGAAACCATGATCAGTTTCTTTACTGAGAGCATAAAATTATAAATAAATTTAATTCATACAGTCTAACTGAAGAGTTCTTACTTATGTGTGATTCAGGTACCAAAGAAACAATGCTGAAAATTACCACTTATACCTAAGTTGAATATGAAGTGAATTAACCTTGCATAGGATGTGAACATTTGCAACTGTTTTTTTCTATAGAGTATGAATATGATAAATTTGTAGGTTTGAAAATGGTTTTTGAATTATTAATATACTTGCTTATTAATGCAATAATTACAATTAACACAATTAGTTATAATTATTAATACACTAATTATACTTTGAGACACGTAAGATTGAAATAGTATTAAAAGAGAATAACAATACTAACAATGATTCTTTTCATATTAAGATATATAAAGAACTGTTTTCCTAGTATTTATAATACATGCAATTACAGTTTATATCTTAAAAATGAATTAATAATCAATATTTACATGGTAATGACATGAATAGCCATAATACCACATATAGGGTACAAGCTGAACATACATTAAAAAAAATAAATAAAAGACAAAGAAAAAGGGAAAAAAAGAGGGCTTTTATCATTTCACAGAAAACAAAGTGAAATATTGGAATTCAGAATAAAAAAAACTGACTGTTTGAAATCTATGATATAATTATTTACCATTTTTTTTTTTCTTTTGGTTCCATGTACAACTGATCTTTTATCGCATTGTTTTACTTTTAATAACACTGAAAATGTATTTCTTCTCATCAATAAGTTACATAAGGTCTGTAAAAAAAGGAGTGGAAGATTTGGCAATACATGCATTTTACTAAAATTAAATGCAAAATTTTATAACATTCTCTCAATATAACTACTAGTGAGATCCAGCCCTTTTTGAAAATCTGTAGAAGCCATCCAGCCATTTTTTAAAAAGCACTTTTTTCATAAAATTGGTACTAATCAAAATTAATTAAAATACTGAAACTATTACATACACCAAGCATATATTAGGCAATAAAATATTTAAATATTGATATTTTGCATTTTTTTACAGCAAGAAAGGATTTTTCAATATGCAATTCAGGTTGTTTTTCAGGTTAAACAATCTATATATAATAATTCTAAATCAAAGTCATGATCTGCTAAAACTTTGATATTTCAATTATACTTTACACATTTTTATCATTAAAGGGTAGTTAAGTCAACCACAAACTGAAGACACACTTAATAAATAACTTTTCATGTCCAACAACAACCAAATACATAGAAATTAGCTGATTATTTTAACACACTGCCTTTTACATAAGTCCAATTTAAACATATTTATAATGATTCTAATGATATTTTTTATTCTGCTTGATTGATTGGTGTTAATTCAATGTACAAAATTCTAAAATTTACATTTATTTAATTGTGCCCCAACAAATAAATTAATATTGAATCAATTCTATCCAGTTCTTGCAATGCATTTTTAAAATTAAAAATCCTCTTTCATTCATAAATACAGATAATGCAATATTTTAATATCAATTTCAGGGCTTTGCTTACCTTTCATTTGAGAAAGCCTGCATGCAACATTCTTGAAAACAAATAAGAACACATAATAATCAGTGTTATAGTTTCTGTCAATTACAGACTTGGAACATTCTACTACACACCACACTGATGGGATATCAGTGAAATTGGTATGAACCACTCAATTTGATGATTGATACCAATTTCTACAGCTAATTCTGAAGCAGCTTATCATAGGACAATAGAAAAGAAACCTTGCACTAATTGTATTTGCTTCTGAATAACAGATGGGTGATCCTGCAGGAGAACCATGTTGAGCCATCCCAACCCCAAATGATCCATTATGGTGTCATATCATTGCTTAGATAATGCCTAACTAGATTTTTATGCATGATCACTGTTTAAGTTTTGTAAGAATGCTTTAAGGTGGCACACCATGCTCTTCACTTCAACTGTTGATTGCTTCACTGGTTTTACCAACATCATTTATCATCAGCTAGCTTATGAGCATGTGCAAGATCAATAATGCCTTCCAATGATGTTGCCATTATTGCATTTACAACCTGGATAGATTGAAATCTTTAAACAAGTGAACATTTAGAATGCTACGATATAATCTAATTATACTTGAGACATATAAGATTGAAAGAGTATTAAAAGAGGATAACAATACTCACAATTATTTTTTTCATTTTTGATACGAAAAGAACTGTTTTCCTAGTATTTATAATACATGCAATTACAGTTTATAGCTTAAAAAAATGAATGGTGAATACATGAAAATACACGGTAATGACATACCACAAAAATACATATTTAGCACTTCATAAATCTGAATTAACACTTTTTACAAGACATTAAATTTATGAACCTAGCTAACTTTTGAATACAACATATTATCATGTCAGTATTAAGAGCCAAAGGGAAGAAGCATGTATGACTTGGTAACTCCATAAAACAGACACAAAACATTAAAAAATATTATTTTTATTCCCAAAAACAGGCAACACACAGTTACATATAAATATAAAATCTGAATCATAGAATTTTATTTAAAAGCAGCTTCCATTAATACAGACTGGAATTCAGTTAACTGGAGTTTCCCAGCTGTAAATTGAAAGAGTAAAATAATTGTAATGCAGAAAAGAAAACATGATTTTAAATTATAATTACCAAATTTGAAATTTCAAAATAAACCACACACACTTTATTATATATATATATATAGTATGTTGTACTACTACTATTATATGCACTATGTAAAAAAAATAAGACAACATAATAATAATTTGTTTTAGAAAATGATCTATGATAAGCACTTTGATCAAACAGTTTCATGCTTTCAATTAAGTAAGTATTGAAACATTTCTAAGCAGCAATTGCTCACAATTTAGGTTACTTCTGGTTTTAAACTTAAGTCTGAAATTTTGATAAAAGATCCTTAAATTAATATTTTTCACAAAGCACTTTTTTCATTCTAAATCTATGATCATGATCTAAGTCATGATCTTGCTAAAACTTTGATATTTCAATTATACTTTACACATTTTTATCATTAAAGGCTAGTTAAGTCAACCACAAACTGAAGGTACACTTAATAAATAACTTTTCATGTCCAACAACAACCAAATACATAGAAATTAGCTGATTATTTTAACACACTGCCCCTTACATAGGTCCAATTTAAACATATTTCTAATGATTCTAATGAATTTTTTATTCTGTTTGATTGATTGGTGTAAATTCAATGTACAAAATTCTAAAATTTACATTTATTTAATTGTGCCCCAATAAATAAATTAATATTGAATCAATTCTATCCAGTTCTTGCAATACATTTTTAAAATTAAAAATCCTCTTTCATTCATAAATACAGATGATAATGCAATATTTTAATAAGCATTTCAGGGCTTTGCTTACCTTTCTTTTGAGAAAAGCCTGCACGCAACATTCTTCAAAACAAGTAGGAACACATAATAACAAGACTTAAATATATAAAAAGATAGAAGAATTAAAAGAAAAAAAAAAAAATAAATAAAAAATAGAAAGAAAAACTTACTCAAATTCTCCTTTTACAGGTTGAAACACTTCATCCTGAAAAAAGGATGTATGAAAAAAAAAAATAAATAACCTTTTCTGACCAACTCATAAGGTAACAAAAAGAGCACAGATGTTCATATTACTTAACCTATTATAAAAATTTTTATCCAAATACAGTATTTAAATATAATGCAGCAGGTAGTTAGTATTTGATTAGTCAAAACAAAACTCCTTTATAATTCAATTTAAGACGCTTTATTAGAATCAGAAATATCAAAATCTAATTTTTTAAAATTCAGACGTTCATAATTCTGGTGATTAACTCCAGTTTCCCTTAGGAAGTTCTCACCAAAATTTTCTCCTCTTTTAGGCAGATAGCCTTAGCATCTTTTGCTGTAGTCAAATACACCAAAACAGTACAGCAATTATATTTTTACATCTTTGGTGATCTAACATTAATTAGATTTCTAAAGTATCAATTTAGTTGAAACTTTTCATGATATGAAAAAATTTATGTATGAAGTTTTGCATAATATGATTCTAGAATGTAAAATAATAAAATTATTTATTAAAATTTCTGTTCTGTGAAACAGAAACAAAGATTTATTTGGGGGAACTCAATAGCCATTGAATGAACAGCCCCAGTGATCATATGTGACAGGAAAATCCAGTGACATTTTAATATTATTTGATTGTTCAATTGCTTTTGTTTGCATAAGTACACTTATTGGGATGAACTAACCCAATCTAAGTATCACTGCAGCAGATAGAGAACCTTCTGCTTAAGAAACATTTTTCACATGGACATTCTGTCACAGTTTTATCATTTACCATAGAAACCAAATAGTAGACCAGTTAAATAGTAGAAGGCTTGTGTCAACTGGTGCAAAGAAATATTGGGAAAATATGTTCATCATAGATGCCAAAATGCTATTGATACTGCCATCATAGATGCCATATTTATGATTCATCAAAAGAATTAAATATAGAGATATTATGATGAAGTTATCCTCCCTCACATGCATCTTTTCCTGGGCTTCGTTGGTCTCAATTTTGTTTTTATGAATGACATTGCACAGCCATATAGGACTCATGAAGTTGAGAAGCTTCTGGACAGTCAAGATATCAATACGAGACAACTGAAACAGATGTTCCTTGATGAATGGGAACTTTTACCCTAAGAATTTTATTTTCTATTCATTCCAATGCGCCCTATTTATTTTTTTTGTTGCGATACTCTTCTCACCTTTTAAGTACTGCACATTTCCTACAACAGAAATGAATCATAGATGTATCAGAGCAACTACAACACAAAACTCCTGCTACAAACTATAAAATGAAATTCACCATGGCAATCAGCATTAGCTATTATACAATATTAATACATATTTCATGTCTTTCAGTTCCTTTTGTGAAACTATAGCCAAAATCAGAAAAGTTGCTTAAAGTTTTGCACAATTGTTACCTTAACAGGAAAACAGAATACAATGGTACGGCAATCATTTTAAGAAATTAACACTTTTTTCTAATCTTACAGACTAATCAAAGACTATATAAATATATACTCTGCATTAGCAAAACCGTTTTGAGAATGTTTGAAAATAATATGCATGTTTACTTATACTTAAAATTTGCACTTTTTTTTTTAATAACTGAAGGCTTCTTATTTTTTATAAACACACAATCATTTCAACAGAAAATAAATATTTTTTCCTAACTACCTAATATTTGAATATCAAAATTTCCTACAACAGAAATTAATCATAGATGTATCAGAGCAACTACAACACAAAACTCCTATTACAAACTATAAAATGAAATTCACCACGGCAATCAGCATTAGCTATTTCACAGGAATAATTTCAGAATTCTTCTAAAAACAACTTTATTATTTACAGACTGTTCATATGAAATATAAGGCACAACTAATTCAGTAACTTTCGTGCGGCATTATGTTCTTTAACCACTTGCGCTACAACTAAACTTCATGGATGCAGTGCCGTGCGCTACAATATAACAAGCGGTAAAATGTCTCATTTACACTGCTCCACGTCTGCAATCCAGAGCTGTAACTCAAGAAATAAACAACCTCGTTGTTAGGCGACTTGTGCACCATGTTATTTTCATTTTTGCGTGCAGTTTGAGACAAAATCATCTCGACGTGCGTGGCATGTCTTTTTAGCACAAGTGGTTAATAATGATTTTTATATTTTAAGGGTTAGCAAGTATGACCATTAAATTCATTCAATCAATAACTCCATCTGATTAGATCAAAGATCTGAAGCAGGAGCATCCTTAATACACTGCTCGCTATTAAAACTGCAACACCTGGAAGGAATGATCTGACGGACGTCAAAATCACATGAAGAGGTTTCGATATGCACATGATTAGTATTTCAGCACATTTAGATGATGCAGGAAGGAGAATTGACATCTGAAGCATTGCATAAACGAAAAGTTGTGTAGTGGATTTCTTATTCAGAAAGTGCTTTGTAAGGTCAGAGTTTGTTCAGAATACCATGTTATGCTTCAAAGAAAAAGAAGAAATGCTTACCAGTAAGTAAAAATTTTATGCCGCACCAGTGTATTTTGTTTTCCAGGAATTCGATAGAGGTTGGATTGTTGCCTATAGAGAGTGTGGATTATCGTTCCCTGATATCGCCCATCGCACAGGTCGATATCCAACCACTGTCATGCGAATATGGAATGAATGGTTTGCTGAGGGTCACACTGAATGGCATGCAGGATCTCAACACCCTCCCACGACTAACGCTCGAGAGGACAGACATATTGTGAGGTCAGCCCTAAAAAACTGTACAACTACATCATGGACCATTAGTCAGGAAATGAGCATGTTTGCAGCACATCCAGTATCCACTCATGTGGTACGCTGATGTTTGCATCAGCATGGCGACCATTACTTCACCTTCCCTAGACAATGCAACATACAACCACTCTGGTGCATTGAATGACAAAGCTGGATACAGGAGTGGTAAAATGTCATCTTTTCAGACGAGTCCCGATTCTGCGTGCAGTATTCTGATGGTCGTATGTGTGTCTGGAGGCTCCAATGAGACTGCACGTTGCCTGCTTGCATTCGATTCTGGCATAGAGGCCCTGCACCTGGTGTGATGGTGCCATTGAGTACATGACATGCACATCTCTAGTTCAGATCAAGTCATCTGAAAGCAGATCAGTACATATCTGACATCTTACACCCAGTGGTTGTGCCTTACCTTCAAGGCCTGCCAAATGCCATCTTCTAACAAGATAATGAGAGATCACATATTGCACGTCGTGTTCTAACCTTTCTTGATACACAGGGTATGCAATTCCTGCCCTGGCCTGCACGGTCTCCAAGTCTGTCACCCACTGAAAACAACATCTGGTCATGGGTTGCTGAGAGACTGGCCCGCCACCACTCTTCAGCTAATACGTTTGATGAAGTGTGGCATAGACTTATAGCATGGAATGAGTTGCCCATTTCTGTCATCCAAGTCCAGTTTGACTCCATGACTAACTGGGTAAGGGCCGTTTCAGCTGCCAGGGATGGCAGCTGTATCTACTAATTTCACAACCCTGTAAACCCCCAAGCTGCTTTAAAATGTAGTTTTATCTTCCTGTCATACTGTTTACGTATAATAAATATCTTCTTTGTACTTGCTTTCCTACATGGTGCTGCAATGTTAATGGCCAGCAGTGTACATTTAAAAGATAATAATAAACTGTAAAATCAGATTGCTTTAATTCATTTTAATCCTTTCCTCCTCCTCCTAAAAGAAAATTAAATATTGATTATTGCAGGTACAGAGGTAAAAATTGACACACATGCTTGAAATGACATGGAGTTTTATTGAAAGAAAAAATTACAAAAGTCCAATGACATCACATGAGAATCGTGTATGAAATGAGTTGTAACGAGAGAAGAAATCAGTCCTTTCATGATCCTCACCTCCTGTTGTAGATGGATTTATCATATCAACCAAGATCGGACCCTTTTCCAAGAAAATGCGTGGTTCTGCTATTCAAGGAGTTAATGTGATGGATGAGAGGTGTGCTGATATGTTAAAGAATTGCATCACCACTGGCTGATAAATACCTGTTGTTGGACTTTTATGCAGGATGACATTCACCCCATATTGTTACACATGTGAAAGATCTCTTTCACACATAATTTGGTGAGGATTGTGTGCTGAGCTGCCACTTCTGTCATGCTTGTCTTCTCAGCTCCCCAGATCTCAATTCGTGTGATTACTGGTTATGGAAGTTACCTGAAATCGCAAGTCTATCGCAATCATCTGACCTCAGTAGAGATGCTAAAAGACAACATCCGACAGCAATTTTCCACCATACCTACAGATGTTGATGAATGACAGCCAGCATGTTCAAAATTTGTTATAAAGAAATGCTAAAAATTAATTGTTATGCTAATTATTGCTTTTGTTATCGGATTTTAAGCATTTTTTTTTTTTTTTTTTTTTTTTTGTGTGTGTGATTCAGCACACACATTTCAAGCATGCGTGTCAGTTCTCTATCTATATTATTCAGTGAATTATTGAATTTTTAAATTTTAACAGACTTTTGGGTCACCCGGTATTAAACATAAAGCAGTTATAAAGAAATAATTTTAATTATTTAAAAACATGTATTTCAGTGCAGAAGATATTCCATGAAGCATAGAAAAATTTAAGAGCTAACAAAAGAAACAGAAGTTAAAAAATGCTTTAAGTTACTAAAGCTCTTTAACAAGTATTATAGGAGAAGCAGGCTTTTCCCGAGAGAGTATAAAATAAGTTGTAAATTTAAATTAGCAAGAGATTTATTAAAATCTTTCATTCTTTTAACCCCTATTTTGCATAATACTCTTGATGCTTAAGAATTTAGGATGGGTGTGAAATAAATAAGTATCATTGTAGCTGTGTTGCAAAGTGCCAGTGAGTAAAATTCCTTTTGTCAATGTTGTTTAATGCAAGGAGTCACCTTCTCAAATAGACATACTGTATCCAATACATCGGCCTGCAACATGTGACTTCAATAATAAAAACGTTTTTTCAAGATTATTTCTCCATTAACACAAAATATGAAAGTAAAAACTTTCCCATTAGCTGATTCACGTCACATGATCAAAAATCTCAAGTTTCAACATTCTGCATATCTAAAAGACTGCATAAATAGCGTATATATGAATTACAAGACTTTAAGACCGTAGTGCTTAATTCGCTCGCTGATAAGAACTTTTGAATTCACAAACTTAGCTTTAAACTCTTGACTCATAATCATAACAGTATCTCCTATGGGTGTAAGGTGCGAATACACCATAATTAAAAAAAAATACTGTGGTTGGCCTTAGGGCAATAAACTAAATCGACTAGCAAAAACTTACAATAGTTGAATCTAATAACAAAGTGATGATTCTGATCCTGTATCTTTTGAACAATATTACAGAACTGGACACAATTTTATTCAAGTACAGTAGTTACTATACAGTGCAATTAAACAGTATATGCAAAAATACAGAGAAACAAGCTTTTAAATAATACGTTACATAAAATCCAATTACCATTTCATTTAAAAGTCTGTAATAAATTAAAATATATTAAAAAGTTACTTTTCTGAATGATAAATATCACCATCAAAAGCAACCATTTAAAATGCTATTTAATAAATGTTATGCATTCAAAACTAAGATAAAATTACCATAAAGACAGACATAAATATGTGAATATAGAGAAAACTGACCTGCTGAGGCTCATCCCAGTCTATATTGGACACTCTTAGTGAATTTTTATCATAAGGTACAAGTTCATGAGAACCAATAATCCTAGGTAAAACTTGGGCTTTTACAGGATGCACCTGCATAGCAATAAGATAGGTCAATGTCTTTCAAATAAACTGTGAATTAATCACTTAAATTAGTTGTATCATCAAACAAATGATGCCATGATCAATTAACAATAAGTTGCTATACTGCTGATAATAGCATTAATGAACTAAACTAATATTTAAGCTATTAAACTCAAGACATTCATAATTCAGCTAATTTTATTTGTAAATATTTCAAAAGTATAAGTATTATAATAGGTCATTTCAGCATATTCCTAACTATGCAGTCAAGAATATGGCCTTATGTCACATGATTAAAATCAATCGCTATGAACTATGCATAATAAAACTATGATTTTTATAGGTGAACTGAGGCACGCTTCATTATAAAATAGAAAATAATCAAGAGTCCAAGGATCTTAGATTATCAGAATTAAAACAATTACTAAAAAATGAAATTACAAAATGGAGCTTTTTTAACCATATGCAAATTTATATCAGATTAAGATTAGTTAAGATGCAAGAAAGCATATACAGTATAATAACACAGTAACATACATATTTATGTTATCAAACTGCAACATTAGAAATAATTTTGATAACATAACAAAGTGCATACCAAGCAATCATTTCTCAGTTGATTTTGGAAACAAATTATGTATTACAGCTGGAGTTTTAACTCAGTATCTTACATAAAATTTTATTATAATAACACTTACTAGCAAAATTGTATGTTTAACTATTAATATGTTCTATTCATTTAATTTATTTTTCAAAAATGTTTTTCAGGCATTCTTTTCAAAAGATATTTTTTATCTAAAAAAGAAAGATACGCAGATTTTTGATATACAAATTCATATGTTGCTCTTTTAAAGGACTGTCCCCCCCAAACACATGTACAGTATCTCAAGTTAAACATTTCATCATCACATCTGATGTGAGGTTGACACATACTCAATTATTAAATTTTTCACTGAGATCAAGCTTTTAGATCATAAGATGTTTTTTAAGAGTGTTACATGAAAAATCAAGCTGTTTTGAACAAGCACAGTAAATTTTTCTGACAGTTGGAAAAAATATCTATTTATGATTTAAAATTTGATGCCAGGGATAAAGATATAATTTCCAAAATTAAATGACAAGTTGAAAGTCATACAAATAATAATTCTTTCACTGCATTTAAATAAAACTGGACCATCAGTTCGGAAAGAAAACAAAAAGTCTATGAAATGAAAGTAAAGTAAATACAATTAAAAAAAAATACAGAGTTTGAGTTTTATAAAACTACAGTCTAAAAGATCCCACTATATAAATTCAGAAATTATGTATTTTATGCTTTCTGAATAAAATTTATAAACACGATGAGCCATAACGATGCAGAAACAATAATTTAGTTTCAAAGCTTATAAATCAAACCAACAATACTTAAAAGAAAAATTATGTTTATATAAAAAAGAAGAAAACAGCAACTTACTTTTTTAAACTTCTTGAAATTTTTTACTCCAGTTTTCTGATTCTGCTGCAGAAAAACAGATAATTTCTTTTTACAAATAAGAGACACTATCTGAATCTTCATTAGGTTTCGTGGAAGTTCGGGTTCAGCATTTGCAGATACCTGTGAAATAAAATAAATTTTTCATGAGATGGTTTACATATGGCACATAATAAAATACATACACAATAAATTTAATAATTTAAGTTAATAATTTACATAATAAAAAGGAATTTAAAAGCTTATTGAGAAAGCAGAAGCAATAAACCAAGACAATATTGTTTCCCTAAATACAATCACTCGTACAGACAAAAAAGTAATACAGTCAAATACCAAAAATCCGCCGACCTGAAATTCTCGTTTGCTCTCAAAATATAACCATCCAGTTTATAGGTTCCGGAAACCGCAATACGGAGTACAAAATATCGAAGAAAAAATAATTACCAGGTAATGACGTCATAATTACTGAATAATAATGAGTCATAATGGAAATGCAAAATTATTGACATCATGATAAAATTTTTCCCCTTTCAATCTGCATCGAGGCAAAAAACAGATGATTCACTCAACTCTTCTTTCAAGTTCACGATTCAATTCACGTTGTTTTACTTTCTGAACTTTGTTATTTCACGAGATTGTTTAGTGCTGCCGTTTTTTTATCCAGATATTTTGTGGATAAATTAAGAATATTTTTAATTTCAGAACTTTTTAATACAATGACAGATAAGAAACGCACTCATGATTTTACTGCTTGCAATGTTAAAAAACACGTTGCATTGCAAAATGTGGAAATTCTTCGAAAGAGGACGCAGGTACTACTCCTCGATTTATAGTAGAATCGTATGGAATTGCAACACTGGACTGCATATAATATATGGAAAAATAAAGAAAAGCTGTTGAAATTTTACAGCAACAGTGATTCTAACACCATAAAGCTTTACTTGAGGCTAAATTGGCAAACCTCGATGCTGTATTGTACGAGAAGTTCCGGAAATGGCGAAATCGTGGGGTACCAATTTCAGGACTGCTTCTGAGAGAAAAGGGGAAGCAGATTCATGCTGATTTAAAAACAGAAGAGCCTAATGTAAATGAATAATATAATATAATCAATTTATATATGTAATAATAATTTAATGCATATAATAAATTATTGTAATAATGTATACAATAATTTAATTAAATGTATCTAATATGCTTTATTTATTTTGCACTTTTAGTCTGAAAATTATGATTTATCTTTTCTGTCCTGAAATCTGCAAAATTCCAAAATCCGTACAACCTATATCTATTTATACATTAGATCTATATTTAGACAGTTTGAACTAATGTACTTTAAGGGGAAGGGAGGGGAGAACTGAGGAAATTATTTGGAAGAAACAAGATTAAAAAAAAAAAGAAGCTTCACAAATTTTATTAAATAAAAAGCGCAAAAATTATTTTGACACAACTTCTCTTCAAACTTAAGGATATGCTTTAAAACACTCAAAGAGAAAACAATACCCTTCAGTGAAACAAGTAGTAATACAGTAAACACGTCTATAATCAGCTAATTTCTTGACCTATGTCTCAACCAAAAAAATATAGTTAAAATATCTTAACTTAAAATTCAAAAATACATGTATCAATCAATTATGCAGAATACAGACTTTTACAGACTCAGTACTTATCAGTAAATATTTTTTGGGGGGAGGGATCCTTCATACCTATCATTTTTCCTCAATAAATCAAATAACACAACTTATTTTAATTTCAGTCAAATGAAATATAATTTTAAAACTAAAAAGGAAAGTATTTAACTTCTTCAGTATCCCATTATTTAACACAGTAAAACGTTTTCTGCTGTGAGTAAAATAGTACATTCAAATAAAGCATCTGGAAAACTTTACGTCTCAATTCATAAAAAGTGTCAAGTATAAAGAAAACAACTTATTTGCTGTTTAGCCTTTCTACGTGCAGTCATTCTGATGCTATACAACCTTTGGTACTTTTATGGAAGTTGCAAATTGCTGCATAGAAGTCAACTGTTGCAAACTCTTTGGTCTTGCCATTGTACTTATTAAATATGAAATATTCTAAAATAATATCCTATAAAATGAGATTTCACTCAAGGGAACATTAAAGTAATTTGAATGTACAAAATTATACTTTTATTTGTTATAAGTTGCTTGTCTATAGTCACATTATGTAAAGAAAACTTCCTTACTTTTTCCTATCTTATTACTAAATTTATAATAATCAACTATGCGAAATCAAGCAAATAACAACATTCAAAATCCTTTCCATAAATGGACAATATTTTAATGGAAGTAGCCCGAGAAGTGTTAGAAAATATTGCCTTGAGTTATAATTTTGCAGTTTCATTACAGTTAATTGGGAGAAAAAATCCTAAAACCAGACATGCTAGATATATTTCTTTATGAAATAATTTTGTATTTATCTTTGTACATTCTTGTTTCTGCCACAGATACAAAAACCTTGGGAGGGATAGCTGGGGGGGGGAATAGGCTTCTTTGGCTAAAGTGGAAAAAGTGGAAGAAACTAATTTTTGAATCTACATCATCATCAAAACAGTACAACAAAACATGAAATTTCTTCTGCTGTTGCATGCAATAATTTATTCTGAAATTTTAATGGATAACTTCAAAAGTAGAAAATTTGCCTTATTCCTGCTGAACTTTAATATTAACTGCATTATAGAGCTCATGGTAAATTTCGGAAATGATACATTATTACTGCAAACAGCAACACTATCAATTTAAGTATTTTCATTATACACAACTTTTTTCTTTTTCTTGCTTCATTTGTATGCTTACAAAAACTTTCTTTCCTAATATGTGTATAAATGTATATATGTTTTTGTACTTGCTATGAAACCTGCTTTCACATCTGTGAGTGTGGATGGAATCAGAAACTGAATTTTAGTTCCTAATAATGATAAAAATTGAGAAGTAACATATTTATTCAGATAGAGCAGAAAACAAAACTGGATGAATTATTAAAAATAATCTACACTTGAACTTTATCATAAAGAACTTCAAGGGATTGGAAATTTGATTTGCTATATACAATCCAATAAGAAAAGCGGATTATCTCATAAAAGCATGCAAAAAATTTAAAGATTAATAAAGAAAAAACTGATTAACATTATCACATCTGCTAAAAGAAGTGAATAATAAATCTAATTTAAAAAATTACATTTAAGTTTTTAATTACAATAATTATTTTGCACGGTCATTAAATTTGTTGTTTATTCTTTTGCAGTCTCTCCAAAGTGTCTTCCAAATTCATTGGCCTTTGCCTGAAACATTTGCCCAAATATTGGCAGATTACAGCTTCTTTGGGTGGTGAATCATTTCAGCAATGCTTCTTCAACATGTTCCCTCTTTCCCCAATTTTTCCTCATATCTAAATTTTTTCCACTAGCAGAAATCATCGAGTTTAGGATGCAGATATCAAATTTAGATAACAGATATAGATAGAGGGGCAGATGCAGATATTGATCTAGATACAACCCTTTGGTATTTTTCAAGTAATGTTTATCCGATCTTCAGTGCAGAAGCTTTATGTTTACAGTTTGCAATGTGAATGACTTTTTGACACATATTAGAGGTCAAAGAATATGTGACAGTTTTGCTTTCTTGGAGGGCGGGAAATAGAAGACAATTTTGTGACCTACATGTTTAGTCAATGCTCAATGAGAACACAATCATTTTCCTAAAGATATGTATAGTTGCAATGCAAAGTTTCAACAATCTTTATGAAAAATATCTTACGTTTTGTAAAAGATCTAAAGAATGCAAAACACATTCAGAGGACAGAACTTGGAGAGAATTTATATCCACACAAAACAAACCAATATGGTAAAATAATTTTCATTCTATAAAAGAAGAATACTGTAAGCCACCCAACCGGGATAGTGGTTAGCGATGCTGACTGTTGTACTGAAGGGTCCAGGTTTGAATCCCAGAGAAAGCACGGGCATTTATTTGTAAATGCATACAATAATTATTTTGCACAGTCATTACATTTGTTGTTCATTCTTTTGCAGTCTCTCCAAAGTGTCCTGCAAATTCATTGGCCTTTGCCTGAAACATTTGCCCAAATATTGGCAGATTACAGCTTCTTTGAGTGGTGAATCATTTCAGCAATGCTTCTCCAACATGTTCCATCTTTTGCCAATTTTTCCTCATATCTAAATTTTTTCTACACACCACTTCTAACTTGTGCGGCATGGGGGCACTCTAAATATGCGGTGAACCGAAAGTCCTCTTGAGAGGTTAGTGGTAGAAGAGGAGTGGGAGACCCTCAGACCTATCCCCCCCCGGGGTGCTCTCCATCAAAATTGACGGCAGAACCGGGCAAAGTCCTACTATCACCTGTATGGTGCCTCTTGCTAATGACAGCCGCAATATTGACCCTTTGCCACGATGAATTTCATGGGCTTGCTCTGATGTCAGAGACCTGATCTGATGTTACTGTCAATCCGGTGGGATAACTGACAACAACAATACTATAATGCCACAGGCTCATAAGATTCACTATTTCCTATTTTCCTAGATAGCGAAAATTTTAAAATTAAATGTCAGACTTCCATAGTGCTTTGTCTGGCACCTCAATCAAAAAATTCGAATGTAATAACAGAACCCATTCATTTTTTTTTTGGTTGAATGGTCACATACATATTGTGGCCAAAGATATGCTTATTGTATCTCCATTCTCCTAAAACTGGGTGTGACACCAATCTTGTACAGCCTCTGTTTAGAACACACAGAAAAATGCAACTGATAAACAAAAAATAACCTAAAGGCAATTTCCTTTATTGATGAACAGCAGAATGTGGATCTTAATATCCTAAATGGGATGATTTTTAGTTAATAACTTTTTCATCAAAACTTGCAGAAATTTTGGAAAAATATAAAAAAAAAAAAAAAAAAAAAAAGTTTCAATTGAAGATATTCATAGTTTGTTTTATCTGTTTTTCATATTCATGGCAATTCACTATAGTAGTATAAAATTAAAAGAATATGTAACTTGAGCAAAAGCTTTGTTTGTTATAAACCAGGTTCATTATAGTGGGGTTCGACGGTATATCATCATTAACCTAGTGTAACAGACTGTAAATAAATAAGAATACTTCTACAGTTTTCACTAAAATGTTAGGGATAATTACTTTGCATTTTATTGCAGAAATAACAAAATATTTTTTCCCGAATAACTTAAACATATTTAATAAATTTATCCCTTTTAGCAGACCTTCAGGTGCATTGCTGTTTATTTCTTCCAATTTTGTCGTATGTCCTGGGAAAAAACATGTTTCTTCTAAAAGAAACCCACCCACAATTCTTTATAACTATTTCTGTTTGTGACTTTCAAACAGAAGTACCTGCTTCCAAAAGTAAACAATTTTCAGATGCTTGCATAAAGAAAGAATTAATTAACCTAACCTTATTTTGAAATACTATAAGCAGAAATTTTAATACATAACATATGTTGATGTTTTTTATCAAGCGTTTTCATTACATAATAGCTTTGTTTTCAAATCCATTTCTCTGACAATATGTTCACTATCAAATGGCTCATGATATCACAAACTACTTCATAACATTTTAAACAAAATGCATCCTTTTTCACCTTATTGCTCAGCCTCAATTTTGCACAAAATTTTCTCACTGATTTTAGGTATTAAGATTCCTATTAACTAAAAAAAAAAAAAAAAAAAAAAAAAAAAAAAAAAATCTGCCACTATTGGCATGTTGCAATTGCTGCTAACTCTTAACAAATATAAAATGAATAAACCTAATATAAATTTTGTTAAATAACATTTTAAAACTTTATAACACCTTTTACAGTATTTTATCTTATTATGTCCTTTTCTATAACATATTTTGGTATAAAATGGTCATAAACCTCAGAAACTGTGGAGACAGGATGGTTCACAGTAGAATAAATGATGTTAATAATTATATAATTTATTTATTCAGAAATATAAGTCATAAAGTTAAAACACAAATTAAAGTTTTGAATTTAATTCAGATTTCAGGATCATTTACAAAATGAAAGTTGTTACTTTAATGAAAAATAAAATAAAATATTTGATTAAAATATGAATTAAATGCCTTATATAAGCTATAAATTTAAAATTCAATCTTACCATGCTTTCGAAAGGTTTATTATCTCCTATTACTGTGTAATCCTTTTCTTTTTTAGGTGGATTAACCCCTTTAGAAAAAACAACAGGGGGAGGATTTTCATCAGCTTGACATTCTTCATCAGAATGTATCTGAAAAAGTAAAATTCAAAACCAAAATCTGATACCAAACAGTGCATACAAGTATTACACATTCAAATGTAAGTATTACAAGTGTAAGTATTACACATTCAAATATTCACACCACATTTGTAATACCAGTTGATATAAATAAACATCACGCAAATGTGAAATTATGTCTTCAATTCAAGCTTTAGATGAATATGAAACAATTTTAATTTACAGAATGGTATGATTTTTAATGTCATTTAATTATTTCATCTGCCCTTCATTATTAAAGCAGAGATGAAATGTTGAAAATTTGTGTTAACTCCTATTTGTTGCAGAAATAAAAAATAATATCACAATGTTCTGACACAAGTATGAACAGCATAGGTAAAATATATATACATCAAAGTGATACTCTGTGTTTCGCGAAAGTGTGGGTCTACAGTGGTTCTATGTCTTATGGTTCCTGAGAACTACAGCAGTTTCCCATACTAAATTTGCCCAGACTGCTGCAAAGTTCTGGAAGGGGGGAGAAGTATATAAGCAATTGATGACTCCAATGATAAGTTACAGCATCAATGGATAGATGAATGCTCATCCCTTTGGAAACAAGGACTCTGCTACCATTATGCCTTATCATGGTTCCTCTCCTCTGTGATCATAGACTTTACTTATTGGGTAAAGGACAAAGACCTTCTCTTCTCCTTTTTAATACTTATTTATTCCTCCTAAAAGATACTACAATGTATGGTTATAAGATTCTAAACATGGAAACAAGATTATTATTAGCTGAGATAAAGTCACAAATACTTTAATGGTCTTTTTTTAAATGCATGACAGCCAAAAACTTTAATGCCAAAAACTTAAACAGAATTTAATGAATAATTCTGGGCATTTTATACTTTTTAAATCTATTAATGGAAAGGTACCACTATGCCTGTAACCCACAAATAATTTCTAAAGATAATCTAGATATTAGTGGTAATAAGTTAAACTACAAAAATTTGTCTATATTTATTATACAATTATATTTGTCTCACTGAGAAAGAGTTTTAAGTTTTTAAAGGACTTCTACAACTGCGCTTCAATGCAAGCTAATGCACATTTGCATCTTTCTTGTAATGTAATAAAAAGTGTTCAGTAAAACTTATAACTCAGAAAAAAGAATTTGTAAATCAGTGAAATAACCATGTCATTTACCTCAACCATGTCAGGATCTTCAGATCGATTTTTCAAGCCAGTCTTTTTTGTTTTTCTACTAGAACGGCCAAGTACAGTTTCAGTTATTTGAACATCAGCAGCTTCAGTCTGCATGGGAACTTCAAAAATATCATCGAGTTCTTGCTTAATTTTAGCAGACAGAGGAATTTCTGATACATCCATATTTTCTAAAACAATTAAAATAATATATGGGACAATAAGATGTCAAATCCAGAAAAACTTTATATAAATGCATACATATTTTGAAATTAATATTTATTAGTTCTTCTTCTTATAACACGAGCAGATTTTGGAAACTTTAACTGGTTAACAAAAATGGAAATTTATCAATAAAAAAACGAATCTTTTCAAAAGATGAATTTTTCAATTTGTTTCAACTTTGCCACTTCATTTAAAAGAACTTCATTTTGCAAAGGAAACTTCCTTACAATGTAATCACAGGCTGAGGAAAAGTACTTTCTAACACATTGAAAAAATTCTTTTTTCTCATGATCTTTCAAAGAATTTACAAGTTCCCTGGTTTGATTTGCTTTTTAGACTTAACATGCTTCACAATGTCGCTTCTTCCACCGTGACTTATTATGAAGTCACACACACACACATTGCAAAACGCATAGTTATTTCCTTTGAAGGATTCTTTAATTGTTGGAAATTCGGCTTTGTAGGCAGGCCCAAAATATTGAGAATACATTTTTTTTTTTAACTCATTTCTTAACAGCGACGTATTAAGAAGATTCGTACCACGTGCAAACAAAAAAAAAAAAAAAAAAACAGAATGCAACAATCCATGCTTGCTGAGTCCGAGCTGAGCAACTCCCGTTCTGCTGAAGCGAATGCGAAAAAAATAATCTGGCGCCCACAAAGAAAAGAGTGGGAGAAACAAGTTCAGCGCATTGGATTGGCTGGTTAAGCGGCGAGTTGGGAGAAACTGCAGGTTACTGGATTCGAAGTAGTTGGCGGTAAAACACGATGCAATTGGCGAAAAATTCTAAAATTTCGACAAAAATCACTAAAAACACTTGAAAAAGGAAAAAAAATCGTAAAAAATGGATTATGATCGTAAAATTGTAAAGACAAACACATTTTTGTAAAAATTACGAAAAATTCGTAAAAGTTGGCAGGTATGGCCATGTCAAAAAATAAAACTAATTAGAAATTAGAAGTAATCAATATCATCTATCTAGTACCCTAACATTAAAAAAAAGTAAGAACTACATAATTAATATGTCACTTTAAGTAAAAATTGTGTTAATCTAAAAAATTATTTTCATCTAGCCTGCAGACAAACGAACAAGCCAGAAAGTGAAGAATGAACAGATGTGTGATTGACTCAACAATCAAATATCAATCACTGTGAAAAAGAAAGTGAAGAATGAATGGATGTGTGATTAACTCAACAATCAAATATCTATCACTGTGAAAGAGATGAATCAAACTGTGTGTCAAATCATGAAGTTAATCCAAAATTAAAATCCAACTTACCCTGCAACTAATTCTTCAGTGTTCGGAACATACACTTCTCCTTGTGACAAAGTCTGTGATTGTACTTTTGGACTTCTGAGAACAGCAGCACCTAAAAAAAGAGAAATCTATTTTTCCAGATAGTAATAATAATAATAAAATATCCATATATATATATATATATGGATATTATATATATATATACATGTATCACATCCATAAAAGTTCTTATGCTGCCTTTATTTTTGCAACTGCTGGTTGTAGATATTTTCCAATCACAAAAATGTTCTAAATGACATAAATACTTATTTATGGTATGACTTATGATAATTTTTAATTTCAAAATCAATTACAAAATCTAACTGCCTTTCTTAACTCAACTTTCTTAAGTATCGGTGGATCTTGATATGTTATGGTATCAAATAAAGACACTTTCCTTTAACTAAAGCTATTTATGAATCAAAGACTACGTACAAGTATTATATTCAGATTACAGGATATCTAGTTTATACCACTATCATCAAACTCTCAACTCTCTCTGGTGAAAACTTTAATTAGCTACACATACGAGCTGCGCAGCACTCTCTATCTCTTTTTCTACACATCTTATGGTGATAGCCAGTACTTGATTTCCATACAAACATATTCATAAAATAACTTGGATATCTCAAGACTGTGGCACTTTCAGTCAGACTGACCACACTTTAATTGATGCCAGACATGCGTCAGACATGTTGGATGTCAGGTTATATCATGTAGCAAATCTTGACTGAAACTATTACTTGGTGATGATGAAAATTAGAGGAAGAATCTCTAATGTTTGTAAAATCATGGGGAGAAATTACAGAAATTAAACTGTCTGCTGTTAAGAGAGAAAGATACAGAAATACCAGAATAAACTGGAAACTCAATTAAAAAACTTCAAATTGGAGGAAGTGGAGTATATTGATGAGAAATGGAATCTGTTAAAAATGGCTATCATTGAAACTAGCAACAGAGTCTTAGGAAAAGAGGGGAAGAGAATGAGTGCGATTGGTTTGATCAATAATGTAGGGCTGCCGCTGACCTTCCAATTAAGACATACAGGAATATGTATCAAAGAAGCCATTAACAACAGACAAGATTAGCCATTAACAACAGACTGCACATTTAGGCACAGCTCTAGCCAGCAATGTTTTCTTTTAACGCAAGTTCTAATATTATTGGTTGCATATGGAAAAATTGAGGACATATAGCATCATTGTGAATAATGGTGAAATTATTAATTTTGCATAGCTAGTGCTTGTTTGAGTTCTTCATAAAATATTTTAACCCCAAAATGGCTACTAAAAAATGTAAAGTTGATTCAGAGTGCCATGCTTTTAACGATGAATGGACCTGGAAATATTTTTGTACTGTTGTAAAAGATAAACCAGTGTGTCTCATTTGCAATGAAGCTGTAGCAATCTTCACAGAATATAACATTTACCGTAATTTCGCATCTAAGCATCAGAATTCCAATTACGAAGCATTGTCCAAATATGAAAGAAAACAAAATGCAGAATGTTTTTGTAAAAAATTATCCGGCCGACAAAATGTTTTCAAAAAGGTAAACAGTATCCAAGAAGAAGCTACACATGCAAGTTACACTGTAACACACAATACTGCTAAAAAGTAATAAAGCTCTCAGTGATCGGGAGTTTGTTAAACAATGCATATTCCAAGTGTGTGATGTCTTATGTCCAGACAAGAAAAATAATGAGACTGTAAACTTATCTCAAAAAACGGTGACTTCTAGAATCGAAGACATTGATAAAAATTTCCCATCACAATTAGAGTTAGAGAGTGGCAAGTTTAAATTTTGCTTCATAGCTATGGATGAAAGCACTGTTATATAAATGATACAGCTCAATTAGTGTTATTTATAAGAGGTGTTGATGAGAACTTTGAAATTACCGAGGAACTGCTGTGTATGTGTTGAGAACTACAACAGGATGTGATATTTTTTGAGAATTTCAGGAAGGGCTTTTAACTCTGAAAGCGCCTATAACAAATATATGTAATATTAGACTGATGAAGCCACCAAATATGACAGAAAATATCAGGATTTCGTGGACTCTTTAATCAAAACTATCCCAGAAATAACGTTGTGCTTCTACACTGTGCTCTGTGTAAATCTGCATTGAATATAAAAATTTGTGCTTGACGCAGTCTTGTAAATACTATTCCAACTCCTGCACCTACTCAGAGGCAATTTTGAGATTTTCTTCAGCCCATGCAATCTGAATACTCTGATGTACCGTATTACACGAAAGTAAGGTGGCTTATCGCAGGATGTGCTTTCGAGTAAGTTTGGCAGCTGAACGACAACATTGTGTCATTCTTCTATGAGAAACAGTGTTATAAAGAGTGCAAAATGTTAGAAGATACAAAATGGCTTTCAGACTTTACATTTTTTACATATCTTCTTTGTCGTATGAGCAACTTGAATGTCAATATGCAAGGGAAAAATCATTTTATCGATGATATCAGGACCCATCTCAAACCTTTAAACTAAAACATAATCTGTTTGCTGAGCAGCTAGCTAAGAATGACTTGTGTCATTCCCCGAGGTAAAGTTCAATAGCCACAGTAAATGAAAAGAAGCTTAAGAAGTATGAAGATGGTTTGAAAAAAACTACATTTTGAGTTCAAACACAGATTTTAAGATTTCAGTGCCATTCAAACAGAATTGGATATTTTTACCATGCCTTTCAACGTAAATTGTGAAGCAGTGAGGTCAAATTTGCAGCTTGAATTAATTGAGTTGCAATCTAACAATCATCCCAAGCAGTTGTTTCTAAGTATGCCAAAGTTAGAGTTTTTACAAATCATTATCGAAAGTAAGTTTTCCAGATTTAATATCTCACGCCCAAAAAATCAGTGCTATGTTTGGTTCATCTTATATATGTGGACAAGTGTTTTCAACTATGAACCATAGAAAAAATTATTTCAGAAGTAGACTGACAGATGAGCACTTAGCCTCGTGCCTTAGAATCAGTACATCTCACTTCGAACTTTAATATAAGGAACTTTTGAAAATGAAATCGCAATTTCATTCATCTGATTAACAGTATATTTCAATTGTAATACGTGTATATTGGTTTTGAATTTTAGAAACATTTATTTTGGCCCAACAAACTCCCCCCCCCTGATTTTTGGCCTGTGACCAAAAAAGTTTGCCCATCCCTGACCTAGAGCAATACTTTGTAAACAGAAAGATGTTTAAGTGATAAGAATGGCATTCTTCAGAGGTACAGGGAGCACTTGGATAACCTGCTAAATTCTGATGTGTATAAAGAGGATAGTGAAATAACAAGCAGAAACCTAGAGCCTATTAACGCACTCTCTGGAAGAGGTGAATCATGCTATAAAAGAAATTAAAAACAATAAATCTGCTGGGCCGGACAATATTCCTTCAGAACAATTAAAAGCTGAGGGACCTGGAACTGCTTTGGAAAGCACAAAAATTGCTGAACTAAAAAATCTAATACAGAATAAAAATGTGAAAAATGTTATACCCACAACTGCTTACAGATGAGAATACACTGTGTTAAGTCAGGTTTTTCAAAACTCTATTTAGATTTTTTTTTTAATTTAATGAAATGATTTTTTGCACTTATCTTCATTTAACAAATAAACTGAAATCTCAGAATTTTTCTGTCCACACCATTAGATATAATTTTTGCAAGGAGAGGGGGAAGTATCAGTTTTTTCTTCCTCATTGCTTTGAAATATAGCCCAAGGTTATGGCGCAAATTATTTCTTGCAAAGATATTAAGCTTACAATAGAACTCTTCTGCCATTTTATAAATGCTATTTCTCCCCCTCTTTTTATAGATAGACCTTATATTTCTAGTTCATTTCATTATCTTAAAGCAAAAACAAAACAACAACAAAAAACAGAGTTTAAGGATTATACTAAAATTTTAAATTTTTGCAACAAAATTTCGAAGTCATTTAAAATTTTTTCTACTTCAAAGCTTTATACACATTTTCCCCAGCATTTTAAAAGTCCCCCCCCCATCCAGTGCTGAGAAACGTGAACAAGAATACACACAAATGGGAGAAACGGGGGGGGGGGGGGGGGAGTAGAAACATAAAAAAGTTAAAAAGTTTTCTAGCCTCCCAATATCTACAAGCATCAGTATCTCCCTGGAAGTGGCCACTGCCTCACATACTGCTTCATCAGGATCAGGTACACTATGCAAAATAAAAAAGGGGACAGTTTTATATCTCCCGTTCTATTGAGCTGAATGATGAAATTCAACTTACATTTTTCATGCCTCAAAAGCGCAACTTAGAATATGGCTTAGATTTATATATAGCATTGTTTTAATATAGGTATTTTGACACAAAATCGGACCTTTTCTGAAATGACATGCCAACTTTCTTTCGTGCTTGCATTATTGGATAGAGTGGGAAAAAAGTCTTCTAAATGAAGTTGGTAAAATATTTTAACATAAGTTCTGATTTTTTTGGCAAAATTGCTGCACTTTTTCAATTATTTGACAATAACAATTATTAGAAGTAAAACAGTGATTTTTCAATGTTAAAAAAATATTTTTCAATTCAATAATTTCATCGATACTGTGCCATTGAGAATAAAAAGGTGAAAATAATAATAATAAAATTTTTTTGTAAAATAAGCTTTTATTTCTAAATATCTTCTAACACGCAAAACAATTAATGAACCAGAAAATAAAAAAATAATTTACCAGAAAATAAAAAAATAATTTATCATATAACTTAACAGGATCAAGAGATTAAATAATTCTCTTTACAAAATTCCTAAATGACCAAATTGCATTGAGAAAAGTAATTAACTATACATTTATCAAGGATGCCCCAGGCTTTTATTATTCAAGATATAATACTGTATATAAAGTTTCCGAGTTTTAACCCATTAACCGCCAAAACTACAAGGAATGTTTCTTTTCTCATGAAAATAATAACAAATATTAAATTAAGCATTTATGACATAAATTTACATTGAAAATAAAAAAAAATACTCTTACCTGTAGAAAAAGCGAGTGTTGCGTTCGCGCAACATCAGCGGAATAAGACTACAGATGTTTAGTGAGTAGGATTGTACTCGTGTGATGTTTCTTTTGAGTGGAGCGCAGGATTACTTTTTAGCTGTATAACATTTTATAAATCCACAAATAACTTTACTTGTAATTAATTTAATATTAAAATATACATTGCATTTCTTTCACAAATACAGATTATTTCATTTGAAAGATTCAAGCATGAAAAGCTTGATTACAATCATGATGTAAAGCTACATTACATACTTTGCATCTACAAACAGTCTGGCTATGGTACTCTTTACAATGAAGTCTTTTGTCATCAACGGACTTTACGATAAAATGTCTACCATCTCCATGCAATGGTTTTTGAATGCTAAATTTACTAGGTCTTCCTGTTGCTGATCTATTTCTGGCTCATTCTACACTCTCAATAGGAGTTTGCAAAAGGAGTAATGCATTCTCGCATCTGGAATCTAAAAGAGACTTTATATTTTCAGTAGTAAAAAGTGGTGATATTTAGTAAGTTTAGATATGGTCTCACCTCATATAATTTATCAGTATTGTCAATTTGACTATTGTCAAATGCAAATTCTGCTTCATATTCCTGTACTGCAAATGTGATATCAATTCTCGTACAACAGGAACAGAAATGTCCTTATCAAAAGACCAATGCATGTTTTCTTGAGGTAAAGAATGATATCCTGTAAGCAATAATATTCCAATAAATCTTCTCATATAGACTTCAGATGCAATAAATTCTGTTTTTTTTTTTTTCTGAGCGTATATATTTGTCTGTTCAACGAGAAGAGAGTAAATGTCTAAATCAAAAAGAAAATCGAAAATCTGTGCACTAGTTTTACCTTGTGTTTTGTCTTTTATAATTTCTCTTCTATCTTTTTCTTCATGTTCTTCCTGAGACATAACTAACAGTTCCTTTTTTATCCCCTTCAAGATTTCAGTCTTCTGCTTTTTAAACTTTTTAGTATGACTATAACTGCTTTTAGAAGGCTGAAACTTACTTCTTACGTGAATTTCAACTTCCCCAGCAGTATCATTTGGTAAAATATCATTATCATTATTTAAAACATTGCCATTCTTTTCTTCTTCATCACTAGACTCTGCAATTTCTGAGGGAACAACAACAATATCCCAGTTTCCTTCTGGTCATTATTAACATTATCATCATCTGTTTCTTTATCAAAAAATCTTTGAAGGGCTTCTTCTAATGTAAGACACCTTGTCTAGGCATTTTTGAACAACCAGAACATGAATCAGAACATCGAAAGGAATGAGTGAAAAAAAGATTGACTACCCGTTTCCTGCTGACGTTGCGTCAATGCAACACCTGTTTTCCATTCCTTCCCAACACAAATATAAACACCTGACTGATATAATGTTCTGATAAATGGTGACCTTGATTAAAAATAGATCACTCATAAAGACGGCAATTCTTTCGTTAAATATTTTCAGCAAAAATACCCCATCAAAAATTTTGCTTAAAGTACGAGATTAATTATTATAAACAAAATGATTGCTGAAGGCAAATATTTTTTTACAGAAATAATCTTCATAATATTCCCTACACAAAATCATCTGCTGGTATAAAATATCTTAGGTAGTTATATTTATATATGCATTTATTTTTACCGTTGTGTCAACGCAACACCAGCGGCTAATGGGTTAAATAAAAACTTATTTTATAAAAACACTTTTTTTAAATTATTTTTATATTTAATAAGAATACAACTCTGGGACTTACCAAAACTGAATTTTGGGTTACAGTATTTTTCAGTAGAGCAGTATGCAACAGCTAGGCCGATATCTGATTCTGGAATCATTCTTAATTTCTTTCTAAAATAATAAACAAATATTTCATTCTAATTTCACACTACTGTATAAAGCAAAAAGCAAAAACACATGGATAATACAAGGAGATTGCTGCTTTTCACTTTGAGCACATTCACTAACCTAAAATAATTTAAATATTAAAAAAAGTTACAAATTACTTATTGCACAGAAAAATCATTTGAAATCCTCGAGTTTTAAGATTTTGCATGTTTCTTCTACTTCATAATAATAAAACAAAAACCCAATATTTTAAGGTAAAACATTTTAAGACCTTTTGGTGGTTTAGAAATAATGAATGATACTGATCCCTAGAAAACCCTAACACAAATTAATTTAATTTTTCAGGTTTATTGTACTGATGAAATCATAAATTAATTCTGATTTGTTAAGTACAATGTTAGACCTCTTTTCCAAGGTTGCAATTATTAATGTTGTTGGGGAATTGCCTTGTTTTGATTCCAATTCAATTTCAACTTTAGATGCTTCAAGTTTATATATATATTCAAAATAAAAGTAATTGAAACTAAATTAAAAGGTCTATGACTTGCACTAATGCTGTAAGTAATCAACCAATGATTCATAATAATTTATTATAAGAAAACTTTCCATATACCATTTCCAAGGAACACAAATTCAATTTAATGAATTTTTCCACGCATGGCTTTAAAATGAATTTGTGTTTCTTGGAGATGTATATGTAAAGTTTTTTTTTTATTATAAATTATATATATTGGTGCGTTTTTTTTTATGACACTAGTTGTTACGTTAATTTTTTCCTTCACGTTCGTACGAGGTTCGTGAGGATTTGGAGTGAATAATGACAATACTACTTGATGAAGTATCGAAACACAGCCTCCAGGTTATCAGGCTATTATGGTGGAGACAGCTTCACAGCAAAGCACTGGACTCTGCTTGGTCGTTCTCAGAACTCCACGTACTCTCGAGACTCTCCATGCTACAACTCGCAATGCACTCGACGACACACAGAGCACAGCTCCCGACTCTTCGGTTCAATCGTTCCCAGAGCTCAACACACTCTCTTGACGATGCACTAAGACACTTCTTGACTCTACAATACACTAAGAGACTCTTCAATGCATTCAACGACCCACTCGGCATTCGCTGCCCGGCTGTCAACTAGATCAACTCCTCACGGACTGACTAACTATCTCGCCCTCTACGAGGCACACTCTCTGACTGCGGACAAGCAGGGTTTATATACAGGGTTGCCAAGCTACCTGGAAAATCGGGAGCACCGGAAAAAGTTAGGAAATTCGAAAATTGACCAAAAAATTCAGGGAAAAGTCAGGGAATTTAAGTATTTTTGTCAAAATCTGGAAGAGTCAGTGAAGTTCATACAACGATCCCACCAAAAAAAGCGATTTTTGCGCTGACGTCGGAAAAGATAACTTTTTTGGCGAATTGTGTATCACGTGAGTGTCATTCGGGTAGCTGGCATAGAGCCAATTTTCGCAGCTCCAATTTGATTGTCTTTTAGAAAGGCAAAGCAAGTTTCCCACAACTTTTGGTTTCCAGTATTCTCGAGAATCGTATGTGCAGTGCATGAACTAAAGAAAGTACCTGTTCTTGTATAAAACAAAATGGGTTTAATCCTAGTATACGGTACCATGGAGGTTAGAATCAAAGCATATGTATTGTAAAGAAGGAAAACCTCTCTGCAACAGACGTGGCTCCATTCCATCATAGAGGGAAACAGCTGTGCATGCGTGATATATCTGTCGCCAAAGCTCGAAACCGGTGTCGAAGTTTGAAGGTCACGTTATCAAGAGTTCATAAAATGAATATCATTTAAAGTTTCTTTAACCACTTGCGTTAAAAAGACGTGCCACACACGTCGAGATGCTTTTGTCTCAAACCGCAAGCAACACGAACACCACGTCGATAAGCATTTATCGCAAAAACGAAAATAACGTGGTGCACACGTTACTTAACAACGAGATTGTTTATTTCTTGAGTTACAGCTCTGGATTGCACTCGCAGATGCGGAGCGGCGTAAATGAGACACTTTACCGCTTGTTATATTGTAGCGCACGGCACTGCAACCGTGAAGTTTAGTCTTAATGCAAGTAGGAAAAGAAAATATTTTTTGGCGCAAGTAAATTAATTCATGGATTAGTTATTTTCAGCGAAAAATAAAACTACGAAAATTCGTTTTTAAAATTATTGCAAAAAATCCAAGAAGAAACGTCCTTTGATAAAACGTTTCTTCTTGGATTTTTCGTAATAATTTAAAAACGGATTTTCGTAGCTCTCTTTTTGTCAAAGAACGTTTCTTCTTAACACGTGTTTCTCAATTTCCTGCACACATTGCGGAGAAGGAAATTCTGGCCGCCAGGTTCCGTCGCCAAATCTCTTGGCAAATTTTCCCTCCGCATTCTAGCGGCGTAATAGCATTTTACTTGTATGGAACCTTTTCTTCTCTACATAGATGTTCTTTGGTTAGAATAATCTCCATGTATGGTACAATGGGATTTGGCGACATGATGATGCGCAGTAAACGGGTCATTTTGGTATTGGCGACAAGTTTCAAAATCGTGCCAAAGCCTTACCGTATACTAGAATTTTACCGCAAAATCTTTTTAAACCTTTTTTTTTCCCTTCTTTTTAATAAATACCTTGCCATTTTGCAGTAAAATAAAAAAATAGTAATCAGTCATCTAGGCTAACCATGTAATATTATTCGCTAAAATATCGTTGATTATTCTAATTAAATTTTTAAGTAATTATCTTTATTTTTATGTTATTCATATAATTTAATGTTGCTTCTTCCCTCTAAATTTATTTATTATTAGTAAATAATATTTCCAAATTTCAGGAAATTTTCTCTGGCATAATCCTGAAATTAATTATAGCAGTATGATGACATACCATCACGAAATTTAATGCACATATTTTTTCCTTATGTATGCTGCGAAATAAATATAAATACCTCAATTTATTAAAATAGATTTCTTTCTTTTTCGTTTAGCTGCAGAATGTCTGCAAAAAAAGCCTTATTTTATTCCAGATTGGGAAGATTCTAATCTCAATCTTCAGTAGAGAAAACAACAACTATTATAATTATATTTGTGTTTTCAAGTGTTAAGGTTTTAAGAGCATACCTCACGCAAATGAAATTTACCTAAAATCTAACCTAACTATTTAGCATTGCGTTGTGATTTATAAGGACCGGATTAGCCTCGTGTTGAACTGGTGATGATCATGAGTAATAATTAAACAAAACATACATTTGTTATCCAACATATATATCTTAAATTTTATTAAGTTTCTTAAGTGGTAAAGGAAACAAAATTATCAAACAAAGTATACCAAGAATAATTAAGAATAAATGTCCTCTGGGATTTATTGAATAATTAAGTGAATTTCCTACACAATACAAGTAATACCATAATTAATTTACCTCTTAGCACAGCCAACGTACATTACACGGATAGACTGGAATTTTCTTGAAACACACCTGGAAAACCTGAAAATGTCAGGGAATTTCATTCTCCCATTTGAGTGGCAACCCTGTATATAGCTTTCGGCTTGTGTTCGAGAACATTCCGGGCTAAACCAGTAAGAATTCGTTCCAGAAGGTTCTCCATCCATCTATGGCATGTTGCCAATTTTGTCGCCAAATATGGCACCCTGCCTTCCTTTGCCATTTTATGGCAACCCTAAAACTGCTTTGCGGGGAAGCTATCTCACTGCGCCTGGACATTTCATAACAATATATATGTGTGTGTGTGTGTGAATAGTATAAGTTTGCTTAATAAATTCAAAGTAAGACATAACCAGCACTAATAATGAAACATAATGATAAAACATATAAGTGTAAAATTACTGTTGCTCTGTTGCACAGATTTACAGTGCATTCTTTTTCATATATGAAAGTAACAGATTATAAAGCTCTAACCTAATTTTCAATTAACAATAGAGCAAAAACACTTACTTCAGTAGTATAGACTTAACCTGTTCCATGAGCTTGTTTATTTCAGCATTTTGTGACATTTCCCGACTTGGTTCAATAACACAATGGCCGTCCCTTAATAATAACTCTTCATCAATTTCTTCATCAGAGAGTATTGTGGCATTTCCACTCCCCAATATTATACCCAAATGCAATTTCTTAAACTAAAATTGGATAGTTGAGGATGGGATTACAATGAAAACATGAATTTGCAAATTAATACACTGCATAATTAACATGTACATACAACACAAAATCTTACACAATTTAAGTACAATCAGTTAATTTAAATTAAAAAACCTACTGAAAAATTTGAAAAACGCTCAAAATAATTTGGATTGACAAGAGTAATTATTAAACAAATTATGAAATTAACATTGGATAAACTTTAAGTGTTTTACCTTGAGATGATAAGCAGGGCTGTGGAGTCAGAGTCAGAATCTAGCAGATTTGGGGGTAAAAGGAGTCGGAACTGGAGTTGCTAAAAACAGGTCAACTCTGACTCCAGTTTTTGTTTTGGACAGTTTGAATTTGAAATGAAATGAAGGAAAAAGAAGAGCTAGCCCATGAAGTGTTCCTCAAAGAACTCACAAGAAGTGAAGACGGGTGTTACCGTGTTGGTCTTTCATGGACTTGTATTAAACCAAACATTCCTTCAAATAGAAATGAAGCAGAAAGAAGGTTGTTTAGCACTACAAGAAGTCTGAAAAAGTTAAGTAAATTTGAAGATTATGACCTAGTCTTTAAAAAATGGCAAAAAGAGGATGTCATACAAGTCTCAGAAAATGAACTAGAAGAAGTAGGAGGCCATTACTTGTGTCACCATCCAGTTATTAAGCCAGAGAGTGCTACTACGTCTATGAGACCAGTTTTTGAAGCCTCGTGTAAAGTTGGAAGAGCACTATCCCTAAATGACCGTCTCATCAAAGGAATAAACTTGATAGAAGAAATTTTGCTATATTATTGAGATTCCGAGAAAAGGCCATTGCAGTTGTATCCGACATTAGAAGATCCTTCCTCCAAATTGAAGTTAAGGAAGATTGACGATTTTTGAGATTTTTATAATGGGAGAAGGCAAATAAAATTAAAGTCTATCAACATAAGAGTGTTAGATGGAGCTACTTGTAGCCCTTTTTTACTCAGCACGGTTTTCAGATACCATTTGAACAAGCATCCAAAACAACTCAAAACAGTTACTGACAAACTTTTGAAGTCCTTCTATATTGACAACTGTGTAACTTCTGTCGACAGTGCATCTGAATTAGAAGAATTTATCTCAAAGTCAACTGAAATCATGGCTGATGCTAAGATGGATTTGAGATTATGGCAATTCGGTCCGGTAGAAGAAATAGAAAAGTTGTCATATGAGAACAGAAGTTTGTTTAAAGGAAATCTTATAACTCCAGTTTCGGTTTTGGGGATTAGATGGGATAGAAAGGAGGATTGTTTAATGATCTGCAATGAATATGACACTGAAACAAAAAATCCTACTAAACGGAAAACCTTGTCTATAACACAAGGTATTTGCGATCCCATCAGTTTTCTCATCCCAGCATTGTTGCCAGCCAAGCTAATGATTCAGGAGGCCTAGTCAGCTAAGTCAGAATGGGATTCCCTGCTTCCAGAGAAGATTCAAAAGTACTTTCAGAAATGGTATAGTGAATTGAAACAGTTATCTAACTTAAAGGTAAACAGACGTATAGGTTACGGAAATAAAGAAAAATGGTCTATACATGTTTTTTGCGATGCGAGTCAGAATGCATATGCAACAGTAATTTTCCTGCACTGTGAAGATAATAATGATTTCGGTACAGCTTCTAGGAGCAAAATCACAACTTGTTCCAAAAAAAGACTTTGACAACCCCACGTCTAGAACTTCTTGCTTGTGTTTTGGGAGCCAGATTAGCAAACTACATTCATGAGGCTCTGGATGTTCCTACTGTTGAAGAATTGACCAATGGGGTACTTTTGTGGGTAACAGAATCAGAGAAATATGCAAACTCACAGAATCATACCAATGGTATCTTGTCCCAGGTAATCTAAATCTGGCGGACCTGCCATCTCATGGTTGTAGCCCAAGACATCTTATCGAGATTAGATGGTTAAAGGGACCAAAATGGTTAAAAGACAAAGAAAATAATTGGCCCAAATCGGAACAGGTTCCTAATAAAGATTTAGTTATGTCAGAAAGAAAGAAAACTGCAATATCATTATTTACCTGAGCAAAAGTAGATCAATTCATGAATTATGAAAGAATTTCGAAATTTTGCATATTTGTAAGTATTATTTGTTGGATGAAAAGCTTCATATCCAAATCTAGAAAAAGAAATTATTTTTTCCCATCTGAGCTTTTTGATCGAAGAAAAGAAAGAGGCAGAGAAGTTCCTTTAGTCAAGAATTCAGTTAGAAAATTTTGATGTCTCAGATACTGTCAAAGGTCTTGTTGTTGTGAAAGATCAAAATAACATAATACAAGCGAAAACCAAGTTGTTAGAATGTGATGACAAATTTTCATTCAAATATCCAATTTTGTTGCCATCAAAACATCACGTAGTAAATTGTTTAATACAAGACTGCCATTTAAAGAACAGCTATGCTAGTCTCCAGACTGTTCCATCCAGCGAGAAAATTTTTGGATAATTTCTGCTAAGTGTAACATTCGAAGTGAATTATCAAAATGCACGAGATGCAAAATATTTACTTCAAAACCGTTTGTCACTCCGCATATTCAACTTCCATTTGACCGAATCAGAGACTTGAAAGTTTTTGAAATCATGGGAATCGATTTATATGGCCCTCTCTTTCTAAAGAACAAAACCAAGGTATGGATTGTCATTTTCACATACGCTGTGTATTGTGCTGTATACTTGGAATTAGTGACTAATTTGTCAACAGAAGGTTTCGTCTGTGCCCTCAGGAGGTTTATAGCAAGAAGGGGAAGAATTTCAACAATCTACAGTGACAACAGAACTAACTTTAGGGGTACCAACAACCTTTTGATATCTTTACATTGGAGTCAAATAAAAAATACAAAATTAAGACCTAGCTCACATTAAATGGAAGTTCATTCCTCCAACAGCTGTGTGGTGGGAACGGCTCATTCACAGTGTAAAAAATCTTCTCCCAAGAACACTTGGTAGATCATCACTCAATTTTGAAGACCTTTCAACGATATTATGTGAAGTTGAAGCTGTAATGAATAATCAACCTCTTACATATATTTCAGAAGAATCTGATAAATTTATTCCTTTGACTCCATCATCTTTTATTCAAGACATCCAAGAAATCGAGATACCTGATCTAGAGAAAATTAATTTCCAGAAACTTCAAAAAAAGATACTGGAAATGACAAAATATAAAAGATCAATTGAGAAATAGATTTTGAAAAGAATATTTAGCAAATCTCATTCAAAAATCAAGAGAAAAGGCTCAAGTGATCCAGACGGGTGATGTAGTACTAATTGAACTAGACAACCGAAAGAGACTTAACTGGCCAATAGGCAAAGTCACAAAATTGTTTCCAAGTAAAGATGGTTGTACATGTGGTGGCAGAGGTAAAAACCTCTTCAGGAACTTTTGTACGACCGATTCGTAAACTTTGCCATTTGAAGATTTCTAAGAACGATGGCCCAGTAATCCAGCTGATGAACTGTATGAACACTTTTCACAACTCAATTTTAGAACTTTAACTTTTTTTTTTGCTTGAAATTTTCATAGATATTAGTTTTATTTCATTCTATTATTTTTGAGTAATGATGTAAATTTAATGTTTAATTTCTGGCTTCCACTATAAATTAAAAGTGGGAGTATGTTAAATGTTCATCTAAAGTGTCTTTCCCTAACTAGAGGGTGCCAGAGAGAGAAATTAAAACTTTTTTTTTTTTTTAAACCAGTAAATACTTCATTTTTGAAGTGTGATGGACGGATAAATTGTTTCGTACAGCCATGAGAGAAAAAGACAGGCTGTTCAAGAAAATGTACTTAAATATTAATTTTTTTTCCTTTTGAATGTTTTATGTAAATAAAATGTGATGTCAAGAAATAGAATTGTGGTTTTTCTGTAAAGAAGATTGCCAGCTGAAACATAACGTCAGATTCAACGATGCATCAGAAATGGTAAATGAATTTTGTTCTTGTTTTTTAAATCAGTTAAATAAATAGAACCTGCATACGTTAGTGGATTCTGACAACTTTGATCAACAGTAGTTGATTAATTATGTAATAGATGAATTAGATTTTGAGAAATATTTTTGGATAATATTTTAAAGGCCAAGGCAAAGCAAATGAAAATAAAGAGCCTTTAGATATAAAAATGAAAAAATACAAACAAGATTTCTACACGGCCTTTGAAGAACTAGAGAAATATGATTCTGCTTGCAAGACACCTCTTTTAGAAATTATAAAAAAATCTATCCTGAAAAGTTAAAAGAAGTAGCTCTAACAGTAACAGCTCTTCCTCCTACTCAAGTTAGTGTGGAAAGATTCTTCTCAGCTCTGAAGTTTATCAAATTGGATCTCCAACAAAGAAGGTCTTGCCGAAGCTATACTGTTTCTTAGAAATAACTAATGTCAGTTTTTCCATTTCGTAATAAATGCTAATTAATATAAATAATTTGCTATGCCATCAATTTTTTTTTTCTGTAGCATCTATTACTTCCAACTTTTATATTAAAAAAATAAGCTGTAACTCATGAGTATATGTTTACATCTATATATGAGGGAGTCGGAGTCGAGTCAGAATCGGAGTCTAAAATTCCAGGAGTCAGAGTTGAGTTATTTCATATCGTCATTTTCTTCCCCGACTCCACAGCCCTGATGTTAACTGAAAGTGAAGATAATTTTATTTTCATTTGTACATCTTGAGAATATCTACATGCATTTAGAGAATACTTTTAAAATCATAAGATAATTATGAAATTTATTTTACTAAGTTTTTATTAATTTGCTTATTTTTCCCAAAGTTATACAAGTAAATTAGTACTATAACTGGATTATCATTGTTACACATATCGGCAGACTGAAATGACAGTTTAACACTCTTCCCATTCCTTTACAAACGCACTAATTTATAATTAGTAAAGCAATACCATGTTCATTTTTATATAAGACTTTTAAGATTATTATTGGGGAAAATAACTGAATAATGACAATCAATGTAAAATTT